CGCCTCACCAGCAGCAGCAGCAGCAGCAGCAGCAGCAGCAGCAGCAGCGGGAGCGCTGCGGCTGGCGGGGGGGCCTCAAGAGAGGCAAAACGCCTTTTCCGGGGACCCTGCAGCGACAGGGGGCTCTAATGGCGGCGTCTGCTGCCACCCACGGGGGCCCCTGTGGACCCAGCAGCAGCAGCAGCAGCAGCTGATTTCCACGGGGGTCTCCGCTGCTGCCTGCGGGGTGTGTGTCTCTTCAGGTCTTCGGAGCCTCGCACTGGACGCGGCGTCTCCTTGTGTCTCCTCGAGCAGCAGATTGTTCTTGCGAAGGCCGGCTGCTGCTGCCAGTCGACGGCGCCCAGTACGCCCACGTCATGGAGGCTGCAGCTGCGCAAGCCTTTGCTGCTGCGGCCAGCAGCAGCAGCAGCAGCAGCAGCAGCGACGGCATGTCGCAGCAGGAGCAACTGCGGGAGGCCTGCGCAGCAGCAGCAGCAGTCGCGCGAGAAGTGGTTGTGGGGCCCGAGCTGCTGGGGGCCCTCATCAGGAAGCCCCTGGAGACAGTTGTGGGCCCCACAGTTGTTTCTTTTGCTGCTGCAGCAGGCGCAGGGGCGCAGCAGGGCCGCCTGCCCTTTGACTTGACTCTCGATCCCGTCTCCTCCACAAGTATAGGAAAGAAGACCATTGCGAGGCTTCAAAAGGAGGTCGAGGCCCACGCCAAGCAGGTCGGACCCCCCTTGCTGCTGCTGCTGTTGCTGCTGCTGCTGCTGCTGCAGCGGCAGCGGGCGTGCGACGAAACCGCTGCTGCTGCTGCTGCTGCTGTGCTCTCTGCACAGTGGCTGCTGCGGGGCTGTGTGCGGTTTCCCTGTGCTGCAGCAGCAGCAAAGCTCCCACCGCCTTTGCCTCTCAGGCTTCCGGGAGGAAGAGATTGCAGCTTTGCTGCTGTCTCCGTCTTGCCTAGCAGCAAGAGTCTCCGAATTGGCTGCGCTGCGGCAGCGGCTGCTGCAGGGCTTCCTTAAGGACGGGCGCTTCACTGAGCGGGGCATTCGGCTGCTGCAGGCCCTGGTGGCTCACGTGGATGGGCTGGACTTTGCTGCTGGCGAGCCGCCGCCGCCGCAGCAGCAGCAGCAGCAGCAGCAGCTGCAGTCCCCGCTGCAGCAGCAGCAACAGCAGCAGAGAGAGCTGCTTCTGGAAGCGATGCAGCGCCAAGAAGAAATCGACAGCAAAGATGTCAGCCCCTGGAGGCTGCGCTGCATGCAGTGGGCCTTTGCTTTAGGAAGAGCAGCAGGAGCTGAAGCAACTGTCTCCTTTGACTCCCTCGTGTCTCTTTCCATGTCCAAACATGCGGAGCAGATTTTGCTGCTCCTCAACCCTTTCCTCACCCCAAGTAAGCTGCCTCAAGCGCTGCAGCTGCTGCTGCTGCTGCTGCTGTGGCAGCAGCAGCAGC